TGTGCGTCTTATATAGCAAATGTTGCCGAAGCCCCACCCACCAGTCCCCACCGTTCAGTCTCTGCCTCCCAACAATTTGCCTCCTTGCAGCAAAGAGCAAACAGCCTGGTCAGCTTCAGCACAGCCTGATTAGCACAAGCAGCTGATTGTGCTAATCAGGCTGTACTGAAGCTGACCAGGCTGTTTGCTGCGAGGAGGCAAATTGCTGGGAGGCAGATTTTTTTTTCTTGTTTTCCTCCCCAAAATCTAGGTACAGTAATTTCTTTTCAGAATCTCATTGGAAAGAATAAAAAGAAAAGCCCACAGACAACATTCAGTTCCCAGGGTTTCATTTGCTACCTTTAGAGCCCAACATAGTGAATGGAACAGAAAATTTTAGATCTTATTATTATTATTATGGAGGTGTTTGAGTGGTTTCAAAGACTTACCAATAACAGTCCTTAAACTATTCCACCTCCAAATCAGGTGGATTTGTTTCATGTAATGTATAATGTGTTGTTGACCAGTTTTGCTCTTTAAGTCTTCTGTTCACCCACTAAAAAAGGATACAAATACTTCAGCCCTTACCAACTATGATTAATTTATTAGTGTAAATGAAGCAGAGCAGAAGGAAGAAATGATAGGCTGAATATTGTAACTTGGCTCTGCTTCTATTTACTATACTGATGTTTAGGAGGAAGGCACAAAAAGAGACACTTTTAGAAATTGTAATGTACAATGTTAAAGTTGTTTTCATTCAGGTTCTCTATTACTACAGAAATAAAATGCATTTTAGACAAAAACGTTGATAGTTTTGGGTTTCGGGATATCACGCAGAGATCCTTCACTTTTGATTCTTTTAGCAAATCATCAGGTGGAATAAAAAAGCCAGTTGGAAAGTGACTGCATTACTCTTACAGGAAGATTGATTTGAGTCAGACAACAGTGATGGCTAATATGAAATGGTGATCTATATACTATTAAAAATACTACTTTAGTTGTTGTGATCTTTAACTAGGCAAAACAGTGCATTGTAAGGCAACAATTTTTGAACCAATGTACCTCAAATGGACTAAACTATAGAACATGTCCAAAATTCAGAAGCCATGGCTCCTAAGGGTAAGAAATATGGGAAAGGTGTGGCTGCTTTAATGCTACTGGCTTCTAATGTACAGCTGCATTGTTGCTTTAGTCACATGAGCTTCATTTTTAACATTGTGACAGTTTCTGGCCAATCTTGCAATCTTTTGCTCCTTCCTTCACCTAGCAGCAGCCATTTACCTGCTGGAAGGGAAGGTGATTTCCAGTGCTCCCTGCGATTCCTACAAGAAAACTCAATGGGGAAGTTAGCAAGAATTTGGAAGTTGCTTCTGCCCCTTTTTGTACATCCTTGGTCATTCTGTTTCTTTGTTTAGGTAAGGACAGATATCTGAAACAATGACCTATACTCTAGTCATGTTTAAATATTATTTTTAGTGTTGTGAAAAACTACTGCATTAGCAATATTTATCCAAAATATGAAAGTTGATATTCTGTTACTGATTTTAGCAGCGATAAAAGCAACCTGGAACTAGATACTACAATAAGTATCAGTCTGCCATTAATATTGGCAATTCACCATCCTGTACTTCCCTGCATTTTGAAGTACAGCCTGCATCATATTCTTATATCATCATCCTATGCATTTTCCTGATCAAGAGCAACAAAATTGGCTGTGAATTTGTAGAGAAGAACTTTCTGTTCTTTTTCACTTTATCTAATTGAATTGACTTGTTTAATTTATGATGAAAGAATGTTTTATTTTAAAGCAATAGTTACATTTTAATACTTTGTATCTGTAGGTCTCTAGGCACCTGGAATAAGTTGTGGTAATTATTTTTGCTGCTTTTTTGTTTGTTTTCTAGCTTATTTGAAACCCTCCAGTCACTATTTTGGTCAGTCTTTGGACTCATCAATCTGTATGTGACCAATGTTAAAGCTCGACATGAATTCACTGAATTTGTTGGAGCCACTATGTTTGGCACCTACAACGTCATCTCACTGGTGGTCCTGCTTAATATGTTGATAGCAATGATGAACAATTCTTACCAGCTTATTGCTGTGAGTACTTAATATTTTGCCTTTTATTCTGAAATAATGTTGACAATGAATTTTTTGTATGTTTACAATTTTAGATTTTCTATCTCCAGAAAAACAAACATCAACTTACTGCAAATTCCAGAAAGTATACTGAGCGTCATAACTCTGTTTGTACATGTATATCCAATACAATCCAACACTCAAAGTCTAGTATATAAAGAAATTACTTTTCAAACCAAAATATTCCTACTAACCAATAACTGTTTAAACATATCAAACTATGCTTCTCCATCGCCAAGAATTTCCTCAGTCCCGATAACTTGCTTAATTTCTAAATGTTCCCAAACCTTGACTTCTTAATCTGCATATTTTATTCATATTCATGTTTTATCCCTAATGTACCAATAACTTGTCCATTCTTTCACTTCTTTTTCTGACAATTTCTCCATTACATTTTAAACTTCTATTATCCGCTTGCTGTATTATTGTGTCATTTTTCTTTTTTACTTTTGATTTGAATTGCAGTAAAACAAATGCTAATTAACAATGAAAGGACATAATTTTCTATAGATGTTTGCTCCCTTTAGTGATCCACACTTTTACAGTCCAGATGTAGTAACCTTTTTTTTGTCTCTACAGGCAACCCTTGCTTACTGACTGCCTCATTTAGTGACCATTCCAAATGAGGATAGTATAACAAACTAGCCCATGCATTTAAAACTGTCATATAATCCTGCAGCCACATGATCACCATTTGGGTGGTTCACAACTGGCACGCATTTACAACTGATGCCAGGGTCCCATAGTCACATGATTGCCAGCAGGGGTGTCAAACTCAGGGGAATCAGATTTGGCCTGTGGGGTGCTTAGATCTGGCCTGTGGGACTGCCCTGGAAATAGCAAAGAACCAGCCCACAGTGCCTCTGGCAGCAAAAATGGAGCTTGGGAGGGCCACAGGCAGCCCTCCTGATCTCTGTTTTCACTGGTAGAGGGTTGCAGGAGCCACCGTAGCAGGTGAAAACAGAGCTTGGGAGCCCGTTTTCACTGGCAGAGTGCTCAGGCCACCATAGGCGGCCCTGACACGAGTGACATTGAGCTGGCCATGCCCAACCTGTCCACATCAACCATGCCCCTCTGAGGTCAAACACAACCCTGATGTGACCCTCAATGAAATCAAGTTGATTGCCAATCTTGTGTTTCACAGCCAGCTTCCAATAAGTCTGCAGGCTTTACTCCAAGGCCAACGGAGCCGCCCTCTCAATCTCTGTCAGCTCTTGTTCCAGCTCATCTTCCCCCACAGATTCAGACTCCAATCCCCATTGGAGTCTGACACGATACATAGTCATACTTAGTGACCATAGCCCTTAGTGATGCAGATGCTGGACGCAATTATGGTTTTTAACTAAGGCCTACCTGTTTTTTCAATTATTTTACAGCTAAATATATATAGGTAGTCCTTATCTAACAGTTGCTTAAAGACTTTTAAATTACAATGAACCCATTGTAAAATATTATGCTACATACCCACTGTGCAATATGACTGAATTTTGGGTGCTTATAAAATCATAGGGCTTTTCCTGACTTCATTTGCTTCAGCTACGACCAGGGTGGGCTTCAAAAATGTCAACAACAGGTTCTCTGCCTGGTTGCTGGGTGGGTGTGGCTATTGTGGGTGTGGCCTAGTCAGCCTCCTGCACCACGGGGGGGGGGGGGGATGTTTTCACCCTCCCTGGGCTCTGGAGGCTTTCCTCAAGCCTCCAGGAGGATGAAAACTGCCTCCCCAGGCTCCAGAGGCCCTCAGGAGGCTGGAAATGGGCCTATTTCCAGCCTTTTGGAACTTCCAGGAGGTCTGTTTTTCACCCTTCTCAGGCTCCAGAGGCTTTCTTCGAGCCTCTGGGAGGGCAAAAACGGCCTTCCCCGGGCTCTGGAGGCCCTCTAGAGGCCAGAAATGGGCCTCTATTCTGGAATTTCCATCTGATTCACTGCAAGCGGAACTGTTTGGGTGATAGTTCATCATGGATAGGATCACCATGGCTCTATGAGATGGATAGAGCAGACTAATTGGACTCTAGCGGAGTCGAGGAATAGAGGCAGTTGGTCTGTGTCCCCATCGAATGTTCCCCTGAATCAGGGTGGCTCGTTCAGTCCTGCCATTCCAACTTATGGTTGGGCCCCATCTGCCTGTGCCTGGAGCGCTTGGCAGTTTCTGTCAGCTCTGGCTTGTGAAGGGGGTGCTTGCAGGTTGTCTGCAGTGCAGGGGAACCACTGGCGGTTGCCTCAGGCTCAATTCCCTCCTGGCGGGTGGACAAGGAGGCTGCATTCTTCCCTGCCTCTCCAACTTTGGGTGGGCATACATGTGCGCCCCACAGCTCCTCTGTGATTGATTAGCTTAGCTAAATTTCTCAATTGCTCCAGGGATTCACTTTGGGTCTCAAGTAGGAACTTTGGGGTTCTGATCTCTTCCCACTCCTCTTCCATTTTAATCCCTCTAGCCTGCTTATGGGTTAAAATGGTAACCTGGCTGTGGGAACTCAACCTCGGCTGCTTAAGGGACTTTTTTGCATCAATACTCATCCCTTTTCACTTTGGTCATTGAGGCAGGCATTCTATACGTCTCGGTTTCCATGGTCACTGATGGCTGCACTGGGATTCTGACTTGGCTGCTGGTTCCTGGAGTTCTCTGACTTGAAGTAGGGACTACCTCTTTCTCTGTTGCCAGGAGCAGGCTTTCCTTGGTTCCTCTCCAAGCACCCCAGGTATCAGAGAACAAGTAGAAAGTCTGGGGCTCAGGAATCCCGGTTGTTTTTAATGTCAGGATTCCGGCAATTACCCCAATTAAATCATGAGTCTCAAGCCAAACTTCCAAAACCTCAAAGGATTTATTGGGAGTTAACATATCAGCATGACCTGGATGTTGTCGATTCTGAGACTGAGACACGTAATTCACTGTCACCCTTGACCCTGGTTTTCCCCCACCCCTCTGGGTGTATCATAATTCATATTCTTCAACGAAACACGTCCATAGCCAAGAGTTATCAATCATGTTCTCCAATTAGAGATTTGCGTGGCAGAAACTTGGGTCGCCTAGTTACAATCTCTGCAAAATATGAATGGAACAATTCCAAACTGCTGCACTGCTCTTTCAAATCCCCCCCACTTTCTGTTGGCAACTATAAAAAAGGCATAGAAATGTTTTATGAGTTGACATTCGGCTCCCCTCATTTCTTGAAGGTGACCTGTGCGACACAAAAAGAAAACAAATTTATTGCAGGTATAGGACTTAGGGTTGCGAACCCCCCCCCCCCCAGGTTTGGTTAGATTTTCTGCATGGAAACTTGCTACAAGGTGATCAGCTTGGATGTTCCTACTCTACTCAAGATGCCTCTGATAAGGGGTAACCCTTCCATTTGATTAAATATTGGAGTTGTCTCTTGTGCCACCTCATATTGAGGATTCGCTGCACTCATAATGGGTTTGACAACCTATGACCATGGGGTCTGGAGGCTCACAAGGTAGGGGCCTCAGGGTCGATCTGGCCATGGGTTTTAAGAGGCTACTATGGAATACTGGGTGTATTTTCCCTCGCAATCAGGGCAACTTCAATTGTACCATGACTGGGTCCAGATCACCATGTTTCTCCCACTTTTCGGCAACCCCACTATAAAATCCATTGCAATCTCCCATGGCCCCATCAACTCCGCTACCATTGGTAGTGGTCTTTGGGGGGCGTTCCTGGTCATTTTTTCATCACGCCGCAGATGGTGCAACCCTTCACGTAACTGTCCACATCTTTCTTTATGCTGGGCCACCAGAATTGCCTCCAAGCTAAGTGTAAAGTCTTTAAGAACCCATAGTGGTCTGCTGGTTTGGTGTTGTGGCTCCTCTGAAAGACTAGGGTACGTAGGGATTCTGGGATATAGACTTTTGTCCCTTTCTCTTTTTGTTAAGATGTGTTGATTGTCCCGAACCAGCGGTCTGCTAGCAGTTTGGTTTTTAGTTTCCTAGTTATGTCATCTGTGGGTTAGTCTTGCCAATCACAGCATTGTCGTCTGGTGATTACTCGGGCAGCTATTTGGTAGTGGGGATGATTGCGTTTACGACCTCCTCCCTTTCGCATTTGTACGGGGCATGTGGGAGAGAGCATCAGCCAGAAAGTTTCTCCCCTAGGATGTGTTTTAGCATGAAGTTGAATCAGTTGAAGTATTGAGCCCAGTGGACTTGTTTGGGTGATAGTTTTTGTGGAGTCCTAAGGACTTCCAGATTTTTATGGTCAGTCCAGACTTTGAATTGCCTCTGCCTCCATTCCAGCAGGTGGCACCAGGTTTGCAGTACCCATCTCACTGCGAAAGCCTTTTTTCCATGCAGCCCATTGCTTCTCTGTGTATGTGAGCTTGCAGGAGGTGTAGACGCAGGGCTGTAAGCTTCCTTGGTTATTTCTTTGGAGGAACACTGCTCTCACTGCCACATCACTGGCATCCGTTTGTATGATGAAGAGTTGTTCGGGGTCAGGATGTTTCAGTACCAGTTCTTTTGCAAACAGTTCTTTCAGTGTTTCAAATGCTTTTTGGCAGGTTAGGTCCCACTGTAGGGGTTGCCCCAGGTGGGGTTTCGTTCTTGGACTCCCTGTCTTTAGAAGGTCCATCATGGGTTTGGCAATTCTTGCAAAGGAGGGGATGAATTGTTGGTAGAAGTTTGCAAACCCTAAGAAGCTTTGTAGCTGTCTGCAGGTGCGAGGGGGCTGCCAGCCCAGAATGGCTTGTACTTTGTCTGGGTCCATCTCTATGCCCTCATTGGAGACTCGGTACCTAGGTAGTCCAACTGTGCATGGTGAAATTTGCATTTCAACAGCTTGATGTATAGGTTTGCTGCTGGAAGTTTGTCCAGTACCTGGTGGACTAGGGTTATTTATTTATTTATTTTGTCAAGTAATTATTAGATAACAGGTATAAGTATAAACATGGTTATGAATACATGAAATTGATACAAATAAGAAAAAAAAGAAACAATAGGACAGTAAGCAT